TTTTTTTTTTTTTTTTTTTTTTTTTTTTTTTTTTTTCAAGGGATTTGAATCTGGCTCTTCCAGTTACGCGCCGGGCACTCTCGTAACTAAGCTACCGGGAACCACGGAAATTCTCCCTCCAAATTCATTCACCTGTTCCTGTCTGTTCCTCATACCCATGTCAAAGTTTAAGATCGACCTAATCCTGCTAAGTCCTAGGGTAATAATACATTACACGTGAGTACGTACCCAACCGTAAGCTATGAAGAACATCTGTTCATCAGAGAATTTTTCGAAACCCGGGAGCTTAAACTCTCCACTCGACCTCTCATTCAGCCTCAGACGTTGGTAAGCGCCCAACGCTGATTGCATTCCAATCACGTCTGCGATATTCTCGTCCAATTTTCGAAAAGCCCACTCATCCCCTCCAGAATAGTTTGAGAATTGTCTCTCAATGCAAGAATATTGTTCACGATATTTAGCCAATATGTCGCGGTTGAGCATATTGTGGAAGCCACTGACGTTGGTTGTTATTCCTGAGGTGAAGGGACGTGAGATTAGGCGAGAGTGTCTGACTGATTCCACGGGGGTTCCTCATACTTACTTGTGTTATCGAAGCCATGACCCATTTCATGACCCACAATCATCCCCACGATTGCGTAGTGTACGTAGCTGCAGATGAATCATCCGAATACATGACAAAATTTAATTTTTTCATCATAAAATTGTAATTCAGAACTTGTAATTCTAAAACGGTTCAAGTCGATTTTGACGATTTGCCATCTTTTAAAGCATATCTCAGAATCTAAGGGAGATAGCAAAATTTTTGACATGACCTTTTCTATAGCACTCAATTCGCTCGACAAAAAAGGTCATTACAAAAATTTAATTATCTCTCTTAGATTCGGAGATATTCTGCAAAAACTTAAATGAGAGCTAAGTTGAGTTGAACCTTTTCACCGCTTCGCTACGGAATTATTGGATGAAGAGAATAATCATTGATATTGTTTACTTCTATTAATGATCTTCTAGTACTCACTCAGGTAATTTAGAGCTGAAGAAAGGTGGCTGGAACGTACCAGCTGGTGCATCTACGCAGAGAAAAAAAATTCAATATTTTTGGAAATTGTTGACTTTGAAACGAGACACGTATTCACGCAAGTTTTGTTGAATTTAATATTTTATTAAATAATTTTAATCATTACGTTAACATTTCAATACACATTTAATCATTTTTGTAATCAACCGATTTTTTTTGAAGAACTTTTCATGATTTTTTCGTTTCGGTCTTTTGCGAATTCATGGATTTTGTCTTTGTCTAGATCATTTATGTCCTCTCCACTATTTAATCGTTGCAAAACACTAGTTTTAGTGGTAAAATTCACCTTAATTCTTTTTTTTTTAGCTTTGTGACAGCAATCTTGCAGTTATTTTCTTTATTCTGATTCATTATCTAATGGACTTTATCCCAACAAAACAAGAACTAAATTTCATGATAAAAAATTCATATTCAGAGTATTTTATTACTATATTAGTACTCACTAACGATGTTGACATCAAACACATAACCAGCGCCGGTCCCCAGCGGAGACGTTGTCCACCTAAAAAATGAAGGATCATAAAAGGAAATGAAAACAAATTTTTGAAAACTATTTGTGGTTACCCATCCTGTCGCTCCCGTCCGGCGAATACACGAATGCCGGTCCGTTTCTGATATTTCCGAAAACTCAGGACATTAGCCACGTAGTCGTCACCAATCGTTAGCTGTAGGCATCAACGGAACCAAATTATTCTGCAAGCTCCCTTCCGCGATTAACAGTTTACTCACCCCTTCGTAATGATATTCAACTGCCGTTCGATTTTTATGCCACCATGGGAATCCAATCAAGATTTTTATCTTCTTGAGCTTCTCTTGAACGGCTATTTTAGCATCATTGGACAACCAATTTGAATCATTCATTTGTTTGTTCAATTCTCTTCTTACGTTGTTCACTAGTTTTCGCGCCTGGAGGATTAGAAACATTAATTAAATATCTCATGATAGCCGGTATTGAGGGTGTACTCACAGCAACTAGAGTATCCCTTCTGAAGTGATGTTTGGCGAACCAAAAGGCGTCTGCATGGGTCATTCCCATTTCTCGGAGGCATTGCAGCGATCTATAAAATTTAAACAAAAATAATTTTCATCATTTTTTTATTCGTACTTAAGATTAATAGGTCCCGGGAATAAAAAAAATGCTGAAATGCGGGGCAAAGTTTGTGTCATGAATTCTCCGCCAAAAGGAGACGGAAAAATTTGAAAGGCAGCTTAAAAAAATTGTTCCTATTACAAAAACTGGATGAAGCGAGTTGACGGTGATCGAAAGAAGATAAAGGATTTTTAAAAATGTTTGAAAATGCGAGGTGGAGGCGCCGCCATCTCTGAATCTTCCTCCGTCGCGTGGAGGGGGTGTCAAAGCAAGATGGCGGCGTTCACATTTACCAACCACGATTTCCATTCAATTAAAAGCCTTTCAAATTTTCTTTTTTGTTCGAACGATGCAGAAGAGTATCGACACCTTTGATGTTTACCCCCATGCGATGCCCGAAAAATTAGATTGACATTTTAATGAGACTCACCGTGGTAGCAGTCGTGCGCGCCCTTGAGACGGGAAGAATTTGTTCCGCATTTTTTCAGTGGTGTATCTCAAATTTTGACTGATAAATTTCCAGTGGATGTAATTGACTGTAAAATATATCATGTGTTCCTAATTTCAATAGCGAAGCGGTAAAACGATGTAAGTCGAGTCGGCTCTTAGCTGAGTTTTCGAAAAATATCTTCGAATCTGAGGTAGATAGCACAATTTTTGTAATAACCTTTTTTGTAGAGCGGATTCAGAGCTACAGAAAAGATTTTAACAAAAGTTTTGCTATCTGCCTTAGGTTCCGAGATATTCACTGACAACTGACCAATAGTGAAAATGAATTTGAACAATTTTACTGCTTCGCTACTGATTTGAAAAGTATATGCACATCATGACGTCATTTCTCGAAAGTTGTATCACATAAATATCGAATTGATGTCGGGAATATCTCGGAAGCCTTCATCTATTCCCACGTCATAGAGGCGCGCTGGAGCGCGCCGTGAGACTTGTCACTTTAAAGGAAAGCATGTAACGATATTTGTTACCGTTTTTTCGCGGCATAGCTTAGCTCATCATATGAAGAACATAATTAAATAATATATGAAAATAAAAATATAAAATCTGAACAGAATTCTCGGAAATTTTGAAATTGATTTGGTTTCGTATCTATATTATATTACATACAATATATGATATATTGCTAGTGAACATTACCAATCGTCCGTTCCCTGGTGAAAGACCACAATTCTCGTAACGAATAGTAGTACTCCTCCTCAAATTTTATATGCAAATTGCCTTGTGCCTTAATTCCTTCAAAATCGAACAAACACTGAATGACTTTGGTCCAATCGATCTAATTCAAAACAAAAAATTAATTTAAAAAATCTGAAATCCGTGTTTTTACTGAAAGATCTAGGAAGTAAATCAATGTTGTCAACTGAAAATTGGTATTATACCTCAGCATTTGGATCCGTAGTTGATGAATCGGTCGCGTGATTCCACCAAGAGCTGAGTTCACGGAGATTCATTTCCTCTAGATTTATAGGATTGCTCGTCCGTCTCGCCTTGAAAAATTTTCATGATCTAATAGAGAAAGTTCTGAGGATATTTTCGCAGGATTCTACTTTTGGAAAAGATCATCAAGAGAGATATAAATTGCTCGGAGGGATGTTGTTCAAAATGAGTTACCTCTCTCAATTTTCGGTCAAACATGAACAGGTCATGAATATCCGTTTCTAATTGTTCATCAGAAATATCAGTCCGGTTACGAATGAATGCTTCAACAATAGGGATCAGCATCGATCGATAGTCCCTATAATTGTCTCTGAAGTGCGGTAGATTAGCGTCTGCTGGTGCTCTCATCTGAAAATGGTTTCAGTCAGCTAGAATAATCATCTAATATTTCAGCAAACTCACGAGGACCCTCCGGCTACCCAAGTCTCCGTTTCTCTCTATTGAAGGTTTGATGTCGTAGAATGCATAATCTGCCCCCAAACCAACAAAATTTCCGTCAACTTCTTGCCACGAATGGGCATTTTCCCTCCAGTCTCTAAGTCTCATAGCCATCGGCCAGCCACCATTGCTCCTGATAATTGATGCGATTGTCTCAATTCCTCTTGCTTCACGAGCATCTAGAATGTACTATGCCGTGATTTCTAGTAGATTCCAATGAATTCTTGATTCCAGATATCTACCGAAGAACCTGATTTCCGCGATTCATATAATGAATCCAGTAGAAAATGGTCTAACGTTTTGAGTACTTTATAATACTTCATAGTACTGTTGTATTTAGTTCTGTTCTTGAAACCGCGCAACTTCAAGATTTTACGGGCCGTTATCCTTTTTAATGGAGACTTTTCGTTGATGAGAAGGTAGATAATATAGAAAAAAATGGCCGTAATTCCTCTTAATAAAAAATTTCTCTTTAAAAGTGGGAGTTGATTGTAAAGATTATGAAATTGAAGAGTCACGTTTTGAGCTCTTGAATTTAATTAAGTAATAACTCGGGATCAATGGAAGAATCAATCATGGAACAAAGATGAATCAGACATGAAGTTATTCTCAAACATTCAAGAAAGACAGATCTTTTTTCTGTTTTACAAAAGAGAGGAAGAGGATTAGCCTTGATCCCAAAGAACGTCAGAAGCTGCGATAGAGGCGCTGACGGTCCGGTGGGTACAAATCGGAGCGCACAAGTGGTAACTCACATAACCACTCTTAAGGGTGCCAAGTGAATTTGGCGATGACCTTGAAAATTGACATTCACCAACAAAGTTATAATTTTTTAAATTAATAGTATTAGACAGATGGTGAACATCGGTGACAATTTTAAACAATTTCAATTGAAAGCCCAAGTTGAAAACCCGAGTTTGTAGCAGCGATGTCAGACAAGATATGAATGTTTTTTTGGGCTCATATGAAAGAGCGGGTCGAGAAATGGCGTGCTAAGGGCCTCTAAAGATGGTTTTGAACCAGGGGAGACTCCTAGACCCCACTGGACAATGTTGTCACAATTGCGCTTTTCAATTGAAAACAGACATCATCTTTAGAGACATTTGTCATCTTTAAAGACTCCTGCACGCCATTTTTCGAGCCGCTCTTTCATTTGAGCCAAAAAAAACATTCATATCTTGTCTGACATCTTTGCTACAAACTCGGGTCTTCAACTCGGGCCTTCAATTGAAGGCCCGAGTTCTAGACCCGAGTTTGTAGCAGCGATGTCAAACGAGATATGAATGTTTTTTTGGGCTCATATGAAAGAGCGGGTCGAGAAATGGCGTGCTAAGGGCCTCTAAAGATGGTTTTGAACCAGGGGAGACTCCTAGACCCCACTGGACAATGTTGTCACAATTGCGCTTTTCAATTGAAAACAGACATCATCTTTAGAGACATTTGTCATCTTTAAAGACTCCTGCACGCCATTTTTCGAGCCGCTCTTTCATTTGAGCCAAAAAAAACATTCATATCTTGTCTGACATCTTTGCTACAAACTCGGGTCTTCAACTCGGGCCTTCAATTGAAGGCCCGAGTTGTAGACCCGAGTTTGTAGCAGCGATGTCAAACAAGATATGAATGTTTTTTTGGGCTCATATGAAAGAGCGGGTCGAGAAATGGCGTGCTAAGGGCCTCTAAAGATGGTTTTGAACCAGGGGAGACTCCTAGACCCCACTGGACAATGTTGTCACAATTGCGCTTTTCAATTGAAAACAGACATCATCTTTAGAGACATTTGTCATCTTTAAAGACTCCTGCACGCCATTTTTCGAGCCGCTCTTTCATTTGAGCCAAAAAAAACATTCATATCTTGTCTGACATCTTTGCTACAAACTCGGGTCTTCAACTCGGGCCTTCAATTGAAGGCCCGAGTTGTAGACCCGAGTTTGTAGCAGCGATGTCAAACAAGATATGAATGTTTTTTTGGGCTCATATGAAAGAGCGGGTCGAGAAATGGCGTGCTAAGGGCCTCTAAAGATGGTTTTGAACCAGGGGAGACTCCTAGACCCCACTGGACAATGTTGTCACAATTGCGCTTTTCAATTGAAAACAGACATCATCTTTAGAGACATTTGTCATCTTTAAAGACTCCTGCACGCCATTTTTCGAGCCGCTCTTTCATTTGAGCCAAAAAAAACATTCATATCTTGTCTGACATCTTTGCTACAAACTCGGGTCTTCAACTCGGGCCTTCAATTGAAGGCCCGAGTTGTAGACCCGAGTTTGTAGCAGCGATGTCAAACAAGATATGAATGTTTTTTTGGGCTCATATGAAAGAGCGGGTCGAGAAATGGCGTGCTAAGGGCCTCTAAAGATGGTTTTGAACCAGGGGAGACTCCTAGACCCCACTGGACAATGTTGTCACAATTGCGCTTTTCAATTGAAAACAGACATCATCTTTAGAGAGATTTGTCATCTTTAAAGACTTCTGCACGCCATTTCTCGACCCGCTCTTTCATTTGAGCTCAAAAAAACATTCATATCTTGTCTGACATCTCTGTTACAAACTCTGGTTATCAACTCTGGTTTTCAGTTGAAATTGGAATTATTAATTTACACAATAATAGGGTAGCATTGACGATTTTTTCTTAACTCGCAAAAATTTTCAAACAATTTGCTATCGATTGGTGATAAAATTTTTTGGAAATAATGGAATAGAGGGGATAACGCCTTTTTTTTCAGAGGTGATTTTTCAAATATTTATTTTAAAAAAAGTACTAACTAGTAAATGTTTTTTATTAGCTCGCAATTGTCTTCAAAACTACTTCAATGAGGAAAAAAATAAAAATTTGGATTATCTATACATGAGGGGCTAATTGATCGGATCTCTCTTCTCGGGTGATGGCGCAGTACATTGTACCTACCGCCGCTATCGCTCTCATGTGGCAAATCTTGCAAGCTCTTTCAAGGCTAATATATTGAACCATTCGATCCCGTAATAATACGTTCGACACAAATATCAAATTCTACTAACCCTTGTTCATGCATGATTGGTAGAACTTCTTCGCTTGTCGAATGGGACGGATATCGGTGACTTCAGATGGGGTCTCCAGCATCTCTAAATGATTTACAGTTCATAATTGATTTTAGAATAATGAGGAAGGTCTGTAGGGGCCACTACTGAATGATCTCAGTACCTTTGCGATATTTTTCGATAGTCGACGCCATCCGCTCGAACCGATTCCACATGGTGGCATATTCTGGCATTGGATCCTTAGCTGCCCATCCACCGCAGACAAACTCGTAAAAGTTTTGACATGGGTCAGCGTGTTTATTCATCGCCTCGATGTACATCTCCGATATCTCTCGGCAATCTTCTGCCTCGCATATTCTTGCTTTCTCATATTGAAGAGATGATTTCTTGTTATTTCTCGCAAAAGATGTTCTCATTCGATTCACTGTTGACGCGGAACATGCAGCCAATACAACAGATATAAATCTACGAACAAATCGACGAAAATTTTACAAATTCAGAAATTAGCCGATCGAAGACGAATTAATTTCAAAGAGAAACGTGAAAAATTCTAATTACAAGAAGTTTTTGTCAGGTGACATCTTCAGTTTTGATCAAGTCTTCCTTCCAGCAATAGTCGCGGAGTCAATTTTTTAAATTAAAAATCATCCTTCGTGTAGCGGATCAGATCTTCATAGAACTTCGGCTGCTCAGCGACGTGGCTATTCATTATCAGCGCAATTACCATAAAAAAGAATTCGCGGACCGGTTGTTGGGTAGATAACGCGGAATCTTATTGACTGTTTCACAATATGAATTCATTCAAATGTACTCAATTTTCTCTCTTAATGATATTGTTATTTCTATTATTCAGAAGCGTTGAGCAACTATATTCTCGATTTCTCAGTAATATATATATTTTTTTAAATAAAAATTACATGAAAGTATAATTGGTGGTATTGCCTTTGCGAATAATATTTACGTATGTAATCTTCTGTATTTGCGATCAACATTTACAAGTAATTCGAAAGTTTGTCGACAAATATTTAGGTAATTTAAATAAAAGAACTGATTCAAGGTACGGGGCGTCAACTCCGTTATTCAATGAGTGATAACTTAAAAACAATCGAACGAAAAAAATTGAAATAAAATGCATTGGCTGTATTGAACTTTGAAATAAACTTCTAGAGAATTTCTTAATGTTTTACACCAATTTCAATGTTTGCCGACAATTGATTGCCGAGATCTTCGCACACGCTAAATTTATTTATAACAAACAAATTACTCAACAAATCGAAATTTAACTTCTGCCACTCGATAGAAGGATCATTGAAGTATTTTCAGTAAAAATTTCAAAATTTTTGTGGGGAATTTTGTAGACAAACGAGATGATTTAATATGATTGAATCGGTTGGATGTAAAATTTTCATCTACAACTTTTGTTCATTGAAAAAAAAAAATAAAATAGTTCACTGCAGAGACAATTCCATTGACTTTCAAAATATCTTTTCCAAATGTCAATACGTCTCTTAGAATTCGAGAAAATGATTCTTTATGGGTCGATGCATGATTGAAAGATACGAAACACTATAAACTTTGAAAATGCTGTTACTCCAAATAAATAATACAAATTATTTACAAATTATCTCTATTATTTTAATATAATTTCCCATCCAATATTAATTAGTGTGTTTTTGCTTTCTGTTTTTTAACGAAATCTTGAATCTTGGGGTGTTGGTAGACTCGGATGGACGCGATGGACCCGGCGCACGCACCCACCCAGTAAACAATTATATGTTCCATTGCACTTGTACCCAGGCAGCCATACTTGAGGGCAGTTGCAAGGGCAGGGTTGAAGTACCCTCCGGAGTAATTGAACGCTGAAAAACAAAACAAGGCATAAAAAACAAAACACAAAATATCTCTTTATGTTATAAACATCCAAATCGACTTCTGGTGACAAAAATATGGTACTCGAAATTAAGACTCCACAATTAAGGATCGCAAGGGTCAAATTGAGGGTTACGAGGGTCAAAATAATGGTCGTAAGGGTCAGAATAAGGGTTACAAGGTTCAAAATGAAGGTCAGAGTGAAGGTCACGAAAGGTATAATGAGGGTCAGAGTGAGGGTCATGAGGGTTAGAATAAAGGTCACGAGGGTCAGATTAAGGGTCACGGGGGTAAGTCTAAGAGTCATCAGGGTCATGAGGGTCAAATTAAGGGTCACGGTGTAAGTTTTAAGCGTCATGAGGATCAGAATAAGGGTCACCAGGATCAGATTAAGGGTCACGGGGGTATAATGAGGGTCAGAATAAGGGTCAAAGTGGGGGTCATGAGGGTTAGAATAAAGGTCACGAGGGTCAGATTAAGTGTCACGGGGGTAAGTCTAAGAGTCACGAGGGTCAAATTAAGGGTCACGGGGGTATAATGAGGTTCAGAGTGAGGGTCACAAGGGGTATAATGAGAGTCAGAATAAGGGTCAGTGTGAGGCTCATGGGGGTCACAATAAAGAGTCACGAGGGTCAAATTAAGGGTCACGGGGGTTTAATGAGAATCACAATAAAGGTCACGAGGGTCTGATTAAGGGTCAGAATAAGGGTCACGAGGGTCAAATTGAGGTTCACGAGGGGTGTAATAAAAATCAGTGCCAAGGTCACGAAGGTTAGATTAAGGGTCACAAAGCTCAGAATAAAAATGCTGGGGGTCATATGTAGGTCATAAGGGGGTTGGCAAATGGATTCAATAATGTGAAAAAATCTTCATAAAATTGGCTGAATTTTTTGAATATCCTACTCCTCGCCCGACTATCCTTAATCAATAATTCTCACCAACAACGACCAGAGTCGTTCCCACGAACGAATCTATGATGTTGCTGAACCTCGGGTTGAGCTCCCCAAGCCCTCTGGAGACGACTCGACAGATGCAGGTGGCGATGCACTCAATGAATGCACCGATGATGACGGGCACTTGGAGGTCAGTGGTGCAGTCCTCGAAGGCCCTGTCCTTATGCGTGGGGACTATCTCCAGGGCCCAGAGGAGTTGGATGTACCTGAAGATGGCGAGACCTCCGACGAGCTCCGCCCAGATCAGGAGGAAAGCGTCTCTGAGGGATTTCTTTCCTTCGACAAGGTCCTCCAGGTGAGTGTAGGGACAGGCGGTGGCGTCTTCCCAATTTAAGGACCACCAGATTGTCAGGACGAAGAGGTAGATTGCGTACATTGACACTCCCCAGTTGTCGGCGACTGAATATTATTATTACATTGAATCCGATAAAATTTTTCATCTCTGATTTTTATTCCTAAGTCCACGAATGACAAAATTTAATAGAAAAACGTAGAGAATTCGTTAGAAAATTCTATTGGATTTCGATTGGATTTCTATTCAAGTTTCTATTAGTTTTTGGCCGATTCTATTAAACTGTTTAACAGACAATATTCAATAGAAATTTTTCTGTATAACTTATTCACTTGCGAGATTTTCTGAAGTATTTCCTCGGCTCAAATTTTCCAATTTTCTTATTTTTGAAAAAAAAAAACGAAAAAAAAAGCTCCAATTTCTTCATTTTTTGATTTTCTTGACGAGAAGAAAAGACAAATAGAATGACGAAAACTGAGAAAAATCGAGCCGAGGAAATTCTATAGGAAATATCTGAAGAGATTAAGTTATATGGAAAAATCGACTATTGACTTTTTCTATTGAATATTTTCTAATAGAATTTTCCAACGAATTCGCTAGGGTTTTTTATTATTTTTTTATGTGTTCAAGCATTGCGGAATAAAAAAAAGAAAAAATGAATAAAAAATGAAAAAAATATAAAAAACATGAGATTCTTCTTCAAAAGAATTACGATTGAGCTTCTTGTAGTCCAAACGATCTACTCCAATAATTTCGCTATTAAAAAATATGTATGAAGTATCCCTGTTATTTACTAGTTTTAATTACTTATGATGAGTTCGAAGCACGCTCCGCATAACTCAGCAGTGGCAATCCCCTCCAGAAACAAGTCCCGCAAGAACGGCCGTTGTGTGTAGTACTTCACATATTTTCTCGCCCAATATGCAATTAAACTCGTCAGAATTATGTAGAGGGTAGAGACCACCAGGGCGAATATTGAGGCAGTCATGGTTCATCAATTGTTGTCATTCAATTCCCGTTTTAATATCTAGTATTCAATCGAACGTAAATTAATCAAAAATACTTGAGCAAATGAATCGTCAAACGTACGAGAGACGAAATTGAATTTTAGAGATAGAAAAATGATTTTTACACGAGAAAAATTGTTTTCAAAAATCTTGACGTTAAAAATTGTTTCTAAAAATTAAATGTCCTCTCAAAAGATAGTAGATTGTTATGAATCACTGGAGATTATTTATTTATTACCGAGGATTCACTGAAAAAATATTCATTTGGTTTTTTAGCACTCAAAATTATTTATAATTCACTCAGACTAGATTTATCGTGAAGAGTGTTTCGTTCATTGCTTCAGGGTCACATTGACGTAACGAAATAACTGCAACTGCATCAGTCGACGCCTTTTCCATCCCACAAATAACAGAACATGCCATTAAAATAATTTTTTTAATGGAAAGAAAATTTTAAAAACAAAAAAAAATAAAAACAAAAAAAATAAAAATAATTATTTTTTGGATAATAAAATTTCTGAGAACCGCGAAATGGCTGAAGAAATAGGAAAAATTTAAGTGAAAGTGAAATGAAGAAATGGAGAAAAAAATTATCAAGAAATGAAAAAGAATTATTTTGAAATTTTTTGTGAAGAGTTTTCAGTTGTGAGTTGAATTTTCAAAGTTTTGACAGTGAAAAAATCATTCTGAATTAGTTTCAAGTGAAGATGATGAATTAACTCACGAATTAAGGACGAAATATCCACGGAAATTTGATGAAACTCCACTTGACCCGAACAAGAGACTCACCTCACGAATTAAACCCCATTTTAACAATTTTCGATGATTATTCTCATTATGACGATGACACTGCGACGCTGGGGGACTCTTGGCAAGGTCCGAGGGCACTTCCACCCAAATATAACTGCTGAAGCTCTTTAAATAGATACAAACTAGTTTTCTACGGATAATTACGTAGACAAACATTTTCATAATGTAAAAAAAATTGTTTTAATGAAAATTAATTTTTTTTACTTTCTTTCACAAATCGATGATGATTTCATGTTCAATTAATTCTTCAATTCTTTAATCTCATTTTCTATTTTTGTCCACCTTTTTTTGCTTTCCCATTTCATTTTGCACGAATTGTTATCAACAATGAGTCCCTCAATACCTGCGGAATGCATCATACGTCATAACTAACAATTTGGGAAGGTAAATTAGTCAAAATGATAACAAAAATTGTGAGAGCAATTGCATGAATTTTATCAATTCATTGAGAAACCATTTCAATCATCAATAATTTTTTTTCTCTCTTGCCCCGAATTTCAACAGAATGTCAAGCAGAACCGACGATTATCAATCCCCGCTCTCCCCAAAATATTCCCAATCAATGATAACACCCGAGGGTCTGACGATTCATCATCAATCATTTGAATTTAATGTTTGTCACTTGAGTGCAAGTGTCAGGTAAAAATGTTAATCACTCGAGGTGGAGTGTAAACGTGTGAGAATGACCGCTGGATCCATCGGTTATTTGTCGTCCCACCCAGGGAGCATCAGAATTATTCTGCAATGCTGATGTGACATTTTAATTTATTCATCAACTACTCCAAACGCTCGAGGAGATGACTGGACAGTTGGAATATTTCAGCTCTCTCGTTGTCTCACAACCGAGCTGAGAGGTATGTTTCAAATTCCAGGGGTCATAAGCACCGAGTGAAGTCGACAAAGCAATTTTTATAAAGAAAAATAAAAAAAATTGATGTCAACATGATTTCGCTGAGAATATCGGAATCATTTTTTCAATCCTAAAAAGAAATTTCAGTGGAATGGGGTCGATAATGACCCCACCGGACACTCAGGAAAATTTCCGTTCCCAAACACTCGACACAATCCCATTTTGCCCCATAGGCGTCCCTGTTATTGATGAAAACTTAATTTAAGACTGAAAGTGTGGAAAAATTGTCAACAACAGAGTAATGACAAACAAATGATTTTATTGAGAAGATTGAATCTTAATGATTTTATTCACCTTATCAAGTAACTAACTACATACTTTGTTACATAGGTAAAACGTATTTCCACCGACACATCATCATGTTCACTTATTATCAACTGTATCTTTCATTAAGTTTAAGAATGCTTTGACTAAATTGTGATTCATTTATATAAAAAAATGGTAATGAAAACAAATGTTTATCCTTCTTTATCCTTTTATCAATAAATTATTTACAGGAATCATTGTCTCCCTTGTGCTTCTTAGCTGATACTTCATTCGTTTGGCTTGGTGATTCTCGCAGCAGCCTCGGAATTCTTTTCGTTCGTAGAAATGACATTTGAGGACCTGCCGGCAATCTATAATATGAACAAAACAGAGAAGAAATGTCATTAGTAAAATGCGTCGATCTCATTTTACGAAACTCAAAATAATAAGAAATAATCTTAGTAAATAGCCCGGAAAATTTTCACTCTATTTATGGACCCATTTTACCCCTTTCTAACCTCTCTTGAAAAAAAATCCCGCCCGTCCGAGTATATTGTTTTTACCATCTGTCGGTAAATCCTCTACCCAAATCCTAACCTCAAAACTCGATTTCCCGCCAAAAACCTAACCCCTTTTGCCCCATGCTTTTTCGAGACGCAATACAAGAAAATTCACTTCAAATTTCATTTGTCACTAAAATTGATTGATGGAAATTCGAATTCTTCGTCATCAAAACTCAACAGAATTTTAGTTTTCAGTCCTCGGTTATTAATCTATTTTGTCCCATAACCTCAAAAAATCTGGTTGTTACCATCAGTCGGCAACTTACGCCCCTTCAACTCATGAATAATCCCCTCCCCTCAATTACTAACCATCTCATTTTTACCATCAGTAGATAATTCCCCTTCCCGCCAAAAAAGACTAACCTCAAAATTCGACTTCCCGCTAAAAAACAAAAATCAGAAATTAGCAGTTCGCGTAATTAGAAAAGCTGAAGGATTTCCGTTTTCAAATACTATTCATGAACCCGTTTTGTCTTATACCTTTGTGAAATACGAAGGAAAACATTCCCTGGCCTTTTTGCCCCTAACCTTAAAAAATCTAATTGTTACCATCAGTCGGTAACTTCCACCCGTCCAGACAGGTTCCCCTCCCCTTAATTACTAAATATTTGATTTTATCATCAGTAGATAATTCTCCCTTCCCGCCAAAAAAGACTAACCTCAAATCCCATTTTCCATTGAAATTCAGGAATCAATTGAAGAAATTCGAATTCTTTGCCATCAGAATCCATCAGAATTTCAGTTTTTAATAGCTGGTTTTTAATCCATTGTCACATAACCTCTAAAAAAATTGATTGTTACCATCAGTCGGTAACTATCCGGAACTCCGGGTCACTTCCGCTCCACCAATGACTAAACATTTGACTTTACCATCAGTAGATAATTCTCCTTTCCCGTCAAAAAAACTAACCTCAAATCCCATTGCCGGCTAAAATTTATGAATGGAAATTCGAATTCCTTGTCATCAAAATCCAATAGAATTTCAATTTTTAATTAATTTTGCTCCATAACCTCAAAATCTGTTATCATCAGTCGATAACTTCCGTTTTTTTACCATCAGTAGATAATTCCCCTTCCCGCCAAAAAAGGCTAACCTCAAAATTTGACTCCCCGCTAAAATCCACCAATCGGAAATTAGCAATCCTCGCCATTACAACATCCGGAGAATTTCCGTTTTGAAATCCTGATCATGAACCCGTTTTGCCCCATACATTTACAAAAAAAAAATTGGCCTCAAATTTTATTTTCCGCAAAAATATAAATTTTTATTTATTCATTCATTTTATTTACTTAAATTGTCACTAAAATATAAAAAAAAATTTCCATGTTTGAACACTGGTTATGAGTCCATTCTACCCCACATCCCTTTGAAACATAACAAACATCCCCTACAACTTTATTGCCCGCCAAAATGCGCCAAAGTGAGATATAATAATTTTGCCGGAATTATATCTTGAATATATCCGCCTGGTATGCAAGATACATGCTAGATATATTCGATGGTATACACGTACACAAATATATCCAACATATATCACAGATATTGCATTTTTGCCGGAAAGTATATCCCATATAAGCGGATATAAGTGACATATATTTCTGCATATGTATTTTTTCCATGTGGGTTTACTGAATTGTATGTGCAAAGGCCTTCATGTCTTCATTTAGCCCCCTAACCTCAAAAAAACTGCTCGTTACCATCAGTCGGTAACAT